GTTCTAGTTCAGTTCTAGTTCAGTTCTAGTTCAGTTCTAGTTCAGTTCTAGTTCAGTTCTAGTTCATTTCTAGTTCATTTCTAGTTCAGTTCTAGTTCAGTTCTAGTTCAGTTCTAGTTCAGAAATACCTACACAACCATTAAAATTACCTTTTCCACATTTCGCAGAGTATATGGTGTACTCTGCTAAACACTAACACATTCTCCCCCCATAAACCGTACTAACTCTTGTATGTATGGTTTTTTATATCTGTGGCTGTAAGCTGCTGTTTCCTTTGTTGGCTACATGTTAGTATGCTTTTGTATGTGTTCCTATGCGTATATAGAAAGTGCGTAAGTGTGCTTTTATTTTTTTCTACTATACATCCTTACTCGGCATTTAAAGTTGCTTTATTTTACAGTAGAGTTTTATTGTATCCCCTTAGATTTTTTTCTTCTTATATCTAATACATACACAATTTTTTTCTGTTATTCTGTTTGATATTTAAATTGTATTGTGTCTGTGTTCTGTTTTGAGAATGTGTACATGTGTTTAAGTGTGATCACGCACAGAATAATGTTATTTGCATAAATATTCCTTGTATTTTCGTTTTTTTTTCCTTTTTTGTTGTTGCATACATTTTCCTTTTGCCAGTTGACTAAAAAGAGTCCTGTGGAATAAAATAGAGATAAAAAATCAAAATAAAGTTGTTCAATTTAGTGTGTGCTGTTAAATAAAAATAAATAAAATAATTTTTAAGTAAAATATTTATTTAGAAAAATAAATATAAATAAAAGTAAAATAAAAGCGAAAAAATTTATAAAGTAAATAAAAATATTATTTTTTTTGTGAAAGTTTAAAAATGAAAATTTAAATCTTATATTTGAATGAAGTGTATAACTTAAGTGCAGTGCGGAAAATTAAAAATTTAGTTCGTTTTAAGCTAAAACTACGTGTTAATGTTGTAATTACCTGTAAACCAGATTTTTTTGTACGTGTTGGAAATTTGAGAGTTTTCTTTATTAGTTTTTGGTTTTCTTGGTAATTATTTCGTTTTGGCTTGCCTTTATTAGAAAGCCAAAGGAATTTTTGTGGTATTAATAGGATTCGAAGGAAATGACATACTTTTTGAGTTGTTGTTCTTTTAAGAAATTGCTGAATTATTTGTTGGCACTTTAAGTAAAAGCTAGCAAATTATTTGGAAATTTTTGATGATATTTAATTTGCTAGACTGATATGGAGGTATATTTTATTAAATTTGTAATACATATCTCAAAATTTTATTTTGCGATTTAAAATACCTGTGAGTCTTCAAACTGTAAAGTTAATACATTTAAAACTATGATACATTTAATTTTAGTTTAGTTCAAGTCAGTTCTAGTTCATTGTAGTTTCTAGTTCAGTTCTAGTTCAGTTCTAGTTCAGTTGTCAGTTCAGTTCTGTTCAGTCTAGTCAGTTCTAGTCTTTTCAGTTCTAGTCAGTTCTGTCATTTAGTTCTCTGTTAAGTTCAGTTCTAGTTCAGTTCTAGTTCAGTTCTAGTTCAGTTCTAGTTTCAGTCAGTTCTAGTTCAGTTTAGCTTCAGTTCTAGTTCAGTCTAAGTTCTAGTTTTCTAGTTCATTCTAGTTCAGTTCTAGTTCAGTTTCAGTTCTTTCAGTCAGTTCTAGTTCTTTAGTTCAGTTCAGTTCATTCTAGTTTCTAGTTCAGTTTAGTTCAGTTCTAGTTCAGTTCTGTTCTTCTAGTTCAGTTCTAGTTCAGTTTAGTTTCAGTTCAGTTCAGTCTTTAGTTCGTTCTAGTCATTATAGTTCTTCAGTTCTAGTTCAGTTCTAGTTCAGTTCTAGTCATTCTATCAGTTCTAGTTCAGTTCTAGTTCAGTTCTAGTTCAGTTCTAGTTCAGTTCTAGTTCAGTTCTAGTTCAGTTCTAGTTCAGTTCTAGTTCAGTTCTAGTTCAGTTCTAGTTCAGTTCTAGTTCAGTTCTAGTTCAGTTCTAGTTCAGTTCTAGTTCAGTTCTAGTTCAGTTCTAGTTCAGTTCTAGTTCAGTTCTAGTTCAGTTCTAGTTCAGTTCTAGTTCAGTTCTAGTTCAGTTCTAGTTCAGTTCTAGTTCAGTTCTAGTTCAGTTCTAGTTCAGTTCTAGTTCAGTTCTAGTTCAGTTCTAGTTCAGTTCTAGTTCAGTTCTAGTTCAGTTCTAGTTCAGTTCTAGTTCAGTTCTAGTTCAGTTCTAGTTCAGTTCTAGTTCAGTTCTAGTTCAGTTCTAGTTCAGTTCTAGTTCAGTTCTAGTGCAGTTCTAGTTCAGTTCTAGTTCAGTTCTAGTTCAGTTCTAGTTCAGTTCTAGTTCAGTTCTAGTTCAGTTCTAGTTCAGTTCAGTTAGTTCAGTTCTAGTTCAGTTCTAGTTCAGTTCTAGTTCAGTTCTATTCAGTTCTAGTTTCAGTTCTAGTTCAGTTCTAGTTCGTTCTAGTTCAGTTCTAGTTTCAGTTCTAGTTCAAGTTCTAGTTTCAGTTCTCGTTCAGTGCTATAGTCAGTTCTAGTCAGTTCTAGTTCAGTTCTAGTTCAGTTCTAGGTTCAGTTCTAGTTCAGTTCTAGTGCAGTTCTAGTTCAGTTTCTAGTTCAAGTTCTAGTTCAGTTCTAGTCAGTTTCTAGTTCAGTTCTAGTTCAGTTCTAGTTCAGTCTAGTTCAGTTCTACTTCAGTCTAGTTCAGTTCTAGTTTCAGTTCTAGTTCAGTTCTAGGTTCAGTTCTAGTTCAGTTCTAGTTCAGTTCTAGTTCGTTTCTAGTTCGTCTAGTTACAGTTCTAGTTCATTTCTAGTGTCAGTTCTGGTTCAGTTCTAGTTCAGTTTCTAGTCAGTTTAGTTCGTTCTAGGTCATTCTAGTTTCAGTTCTAGTTCAGTTCTAGTTTCAGTTCTAGTCAGGGTTCTAGTCAGTTCTAGTTCAGTTCTAGTTCTAGTTCAGTTCTAGTTCAGTTCTAGTTCAGTTCTAGTTCAGTTCTAGTTCAGTTCTAGTTCAGTTCTAGTTCAGTTCTAGTTCAGTTCTAGTTCAGTTCTAGTTCAGTTCTCTAGTTCAGTTCTAGTTCAGTTCTAGTAGTTCTAGTTCAGTTCTAGTTCAGTTCTAGTTCAGTTCTAGTTCAGTTCTAGTTCAGTTCTAGTTCCGTTCTAGTTCAGTTCTAGTTCAGTTCTAGTTTCAGTTCTAGTTCAGTTCTAGTTCATCTAGTTCAGTTCTAGTTCAGTTCTAGTTCAGTTCTAGTTCAGTTTCTAGTTCAGTTCTAGTTCAGTTCTAGTTCAGTTCTAGTTCAGTTCTAGTTTCAGTTCTAGTTCAGTTCTAGTTCAGTTCTAGTTCGTTCTAGTTCAGTTCTAGTTCAGTTCTAGTTCAGTTCTAGTTCAGTTCTAGTTCAGTTCTAGTTCAGTTCTAGTTCAGTTCTAGTTCAGTTCTAGTCAGTTCTAGTTCAGTTCTAGTTCAGTTCCGTAGTTCAGTTCTAGTTCAGTTTCTAGTTCAGTTCTAGTTCAGTTCTAGTTCAGTTCTAGTCAGTTCTAGTCAGTTCTAGTTCAGTTATAGTTCAGGTTCTAGTTCAGTTCTAGTTCAGTTCTAGGTTCAGTTCTAGTTCAGTTTCGTTCAGTTCTAGTTCAGTTCTAGTTCAGTTCTAGTTCAGTTCTAGTTCAGTTCTAGTTCAGTTCTAGTTCAGTTCTAGTTCAGTTCTAGTTCAGTTCTAGTTCAGTTCTAGTTCAGTTCTAGTTCAGTTCTAGTTCAGTTCTAGTTCAGTTTGTTCAGTTCTAGTTCAGTTCTAGTTCAGTTTAGTTCATTTCTAGTTCAGTTTAGTTCAGTTTCTAGTTCAGTTCTAGTTCAGTTCTAGTTCAGTTCTAGTTCAGTTTCTAGTTTCAGTTCTAGTTCAGTTCTAGTTCAGTTCTAGTTCATTCTGTTCAGTTCTAGTTTTCTTTCTAGTTCATTTCTCTTCAGTTCTAGTTCAGTTCTAGTTCAGTTCTTTTAGTTCTAGTTCCGTTCTAGTTCAGTTCTAGTTCAGTTCTACTAGTTCAGTTCTAGTTCAGTTCTAGTTCAGTTCTAGTTCAGTTCTAGTTCAGTTTCTAGTTCAGTTCTAGTTCAGTTCTGTTCAGTTCTAGTTCAGTTCTAGTTCAGTTCTAGTTCTAGTTCTAGTTCAGTTCTAGTTCAGTTCTAGTTCAGTTCTAGTTCAGTTTCTAGTTCAGTTCTAGTTCAGTTCTAGTTCAGTTCTAGTTCAGTTATAGTTCATTCTAGTTCAGTTCTAGTTCAGTTCTAGTTCAGTTCTAGTTCAGTTCTAGTTCAGTTCTAGTTCAGTTCTAGTTCAAGTTCTAGTTCAGTTCTAGTTCAGTTCTAGTTCAGTTCTAGTTCAGTTCTAGTTCAGTTATAGTTCAGTTCTAGTTCAGTTCTAGTTCAGTTCTAGTCAGTTCTAGTTCAGTTCTAGTTCAGTTCTAGTTCAGTTCTAGTCAGTTCTAGTTCAGTTCTAGTAAAGTTCAAGTTCAGTTCTAATCAGTTCTAGTCTAGTTCTGGTTTCATTTTTATTTTAGTTCTGGTTTTCGGTTTTGCCTTCGGGTGTAATCTTCAATAAGAATCTTTATAAATTAAAAATACCTAGAAAATTTATTAATATAAAGTTATAAATATCTCTCGTGGGGAATCATTTTTTTAATATTCCTTTAAATTTAACATTACTCTATTAAATGAAATTACTTTTGTGCAACTCTAAAGGTAAAAGTCTTTATAACAGTTACAATTTTTTTCTATTAAAATTCCAACATTTTTAACCCAAAGTTTTTACATTTTTGTTAATTTCCTAAAACAACTAAGATGTGTAATTTGAGTAAATTTTATTAAACATTTTATATAAAATGAAATTTTCCTTTAACAAACGTCCAGCATTCTTTCTCACACAAACACTTGCTAAATTATGTTGAAAAAGTGCCAACAAAATAAATTCGGTTTCTACCAATACAAAACCAAAGTGAAAAGATAAAAATAAATAAAAAATAAAGGGTTGAAGGTCAGGTTTATTTACATAGAGAAAACTAGAGAGAGGAGAAGAGGTGTATGCCACAAACAGTGTTATACTACTGACACTCAAAATACCAGCACCAAACAACCACACTCTAATACTGAAAAAAGCAAAAAAATATATTTGTATAAATATTGGATAATTTTAATGACTAGAGCACCAAGATGCTACTGATGATGATGAAGAAGAGGAAAATGTTGATGATGAAGGCGATAACGAGAAGGATGCTAAAATTTTAAGCAACCAAATTACGGAAACACGTTTTACGGAAGGTGTAAAAAACTTCTTGGAGTTTTTTATCTTGATTTTTTTGCTGGGTGCTTGTAATAATTGGAAAAGTTTTGTAATAATAACAAAATTTGTTAACAAACTAAAAAAATCTACTATAATTTAAAAAATACACAGTTTATTAAGTGTTCCTGTTGTTTGACTAACTACTAGCAACAAGAGCTGTTTTAGTATTAGCCACCTTAAACATATACACACATACTACATCAGCATCAACATCCCTCATCAAGTTGGATTATTCAACAAATAACGGACCATGGGAGAAAAACCCCGCTGTGTTATCAGTTGCCACTGGCAACACAGGAAATACCGGAAACGCAAATCAAACACACACTTCTGCTTCCGCTACAACGGTCATCAACAATCAACAGTATTCAACAGCATTAACGACAAATGTGGTTCCTACTTCAGCTTCGCATTCTGCTGCTGGTGGTGGGGTTGGTTTACAAAATACCCAATCAAGCTTAAAAGCAACTCATCACAAATCATGCAACAACTACAGCAGCAGCATCATCACCAACAACAACAGCAGCAACAACAACGTCAATTGCAACATCAGCATAGTATTGCGGCGGTAGGAAGTGCCCATGTTCATCACTCCCACTCGCATAATGTGTCACGTCAACTAACTCATCAACACTCACATCCACCGCTACAACATGCCCTGGCCAATACTAATGCAAATGCAACAACAACTACTACGGCAGCACAGCATCATCACCATCAACATCAGCATACACACCAACATCAGCATCATCATCCTCCCCTGCAGCATCATATATCCCTCAATAGTGGCAATATATCAACATCTGTTGCCACTTCCTCCTCCGCCTCTGCGGCCTCTTCATCTGCAGCAGCTCATCGTCATTGTCAATCTTCCAGTGTCAACAACACATCAAATATGGCTAATACGGTGTCATCTGTTAAAGTATCAACACATCATCATGCTCGTCATCATTTGACGCCTCAACACCGATCCCTATCACAACAACATGCTGCTGCAACTCTAAGACGTCGTACTCTAAGTCATGTGCCACGTTCTTATTCAGCATCTGCCGCCACTAGTGCTGGATCTAGTGGGGATCAAAATACTAATACTTTAACATCGTCTTTACGCGCAAGTGGTAAAGGTGGCAGTGGAGGCGGAGGATCAGGTCATAATGTTGTTGTTGTAGAACGTTCTCGTTGTCGTTCACCTATGATGTTGTGCCACAGTCATAGTGATGGTGAATTTCCTATGTACAAAGGTGAGTGTTAATTAAAGTTAAAAGAATTCAGTTCTAGTTCAGTACTAGTTCAGTTTTAGTTTAGTTCTAGTTGAACTCAGTTCTAGTTGATTTCTACTTCAGTTCTAGTTCAGTTCTGGTTCAGTTCTAGTTCAGTTCTAGTTCAGTTCTAGTTCAGTTCTAGTTCAGTTCTAGTTTAGTTCTAGTTCAGTTCCAGTTCCAGTTCTAGTTCAGTTCTAGTTCAGTTCTACTTCAGTCAGTTCTAGTTCAGTTCTAGTTCAGTTCTAGTTCAGTTCTAGTTCAGTTCTAGTTCAGTTCTAGTTCAGTTCTAGTTCAGTTCTAGTTCAGTTCTAGTTCAGTTCTAGTTCAGTTCTAGTTCAGTTCTAGTTCAGTTCTAGTTCAGTTCTAGTTCAGTTCTAGTTCAGTTCTAGTTCAGTTCTAGTTCAGTTCTAGTTCAGTTCTAGTTCAGTTCTAGTTCAGTTCTAGTTCAGTTCTAGTTCAGTTCTAGTTCAGTTCTAGTTCAGTTCTAGTTCAGTTCTACTTCAGTTCTAGTTCAGTTCTAGTTCAGTTCTAGTTCAGTTCTAGTTCAGTTCTAGTTCAGTTCTAGTTCAGTTCTAGTTCAGTTCTAGTTCAGTTCTAGTTCAGTTCTAGTTCAGTTCTAGTTCAGTTCTAGTTCAGTTCTAGTTCAGTTCTAGTTCAGTTCTAGTTCAGTTCTAGTTCAGTTCTAGTTCAGTTCTAGTTCAGTTCTAGTTCAGTTCTAGTTCAGTTCTAGTTCAGTTCTAGTTCAGTTCTAGTTCAGTTCTAGTTCAGTTCTAGTTCAGTTCTAGTTCAGTTCTAGTTCAGTTCTAGTTCAGTTCTAGTTCATTTCTAGTTCAGTTCTAGTTCAGTTCTAGTTCATTTCTAGTTCAGTTCTAGTTCAGTTCTAGTTCAGTTCTAGTTCAGTTCTAGTTCAGTTCTAGTTCAGTTCTAGTTCAGTTCTAGTTCAGTTCTAGTTCAGTTCTAGTTCAGTTCTAGTTCAGTTCTAGTTCAGTTCTAGTTCAGTTCTAGTTCAGTTCTAGTTCAGTTCTAGTTCAGTTCTAGTTCAGTTCTAGTTTAGTTCTAGTTCAGTTCTAGTTCTAGTTTAGTTCTAGTTCAGTTCTAGTTCAGTTCTAGTTCAGTTCTAGTTTAGTTCTAGTTCAGTTCCAGTTCTAGTTCAGTTCTAGTTCAGTTCTAGTTTAGTTCTAGTTCAGTTCCAGTTCTAGTTCAGTTCTAGTTCAGTTCTAGTTCAGTTCTAGTTCAGTTCTAGTTCAGTTCTAGTTCATTTCTAGTTCAGTTCTAGTTCAGTTCTAGTTCAGTTCTAGTTCAGTTCTAGTTCAGTTCTAGTTCAGTTCTAGTTCAGTTCTAGTTCATTTCTAGTTCAGTTCTAGTTCAGTTCTAGTTCAGTTCTAGTTCAGTTCTAGTTCAGTTCTAGTTCAGTACTAGTTCAGTTCTAGTTCAGTTCTAGTTCAGTTCTAGTTCAGTTCTAGTTCAGTTCTAGTTCAGTTCTAGTTCAGTTCTAGTTCAGTTCTAGTTCAGTTCTAGTTCAGTTCTAGTTCAGTTCTAGTTCAGTTCTAGTTCAGTTCTAGTTCAGTTCTAGTTCAGTTCTAGTTCAGTTCTAGTTCAGTTCTAGTTCAGTTCTAGTTCAGTTCTAGTTCAGTTCTAGTTCAGTTCTAGTTCAGTTCTAGTTCAGTTCTAGTTCAGTTCTAGTTCAGTTCTAGTTCAGTTCTAGTTCAGTTCTAGTTCAGTTCTAGTTCAGTTCTAGTTCAGTTCTAGTTCAGTTCTAGTTCAGTTTAGTTCAGTTCTAGTTCAGTTCTAGTTCAGTTCTAGTTCAGTTCTAGTTCAGTTCTAGTTCAGTTCTAGTTCAGTTCTAGTTCAGTTCTAGTTCAGTTCTAGTTCAGTTCTAGTTCAGTTCTAGTTCAGTTCTAGTTCAGTTCTAGTTCAGTTCTAGTTCAGTTCTAGTTCAGTTCCAGTTCAGTTCTAGTTCAGTTCTAGTTAAGTTCTAGTTCAGTTCTAGTTCAGTTCTAGTTCAGTTCTAGTTCTAGTTCAGTTCTAGTTCAGTTCTAGTTCAGTTCTAGTTCAGTTCTAGTTCAGTTCTAGTTCAGTTCTAGTTCAGTTCTAGTTCAGTTCTAGTTCAGTTCTAGTTCAGTTCTAGTTCAGTTCTAGTTCAGTTCTAGTTCAGTTCTAGTTCAGTTCTAGTTCAGTTCTAGTTCAGTTCTAGTTCAGTTCTAGTTCAGTTCTAGTTCAGTTCTAGTTCAGTTCTAGTTCAGTTCTAGTTCAGTTCTAGTTCAGTTCTAGTTCAGTTCTAGTTCAGTTCTAGTTCAGTTCTAGTTCAGTTCTAGTTCAGTTCTAGTTCAGTTCTAGTTCAGTTCTAGTTCAGTTCTAGTTCAGTTCTAGTTCAGTTCTAGTTCAGTTCTAGTTCAGTTCTAGTTCATTCTAGTTCAGTTCTAGTTCAGTTCTAGTTCAGTTCTAGTTCAGTTCTAGTTCAGTTCTAGTTCAGTTCTAGTTCAGTTCTAGTTCAGTTCTAGTTCAGTTCTAGTTCAGTTCTAGTTCAGTTCTAGTTCAGTTCTAGTTCAGTTCTAGTTCAGTTCTAGTTCAGTTCTAGTTCAGTTCTAGTTCAGTTCTAGTTCAGTTCTAGTTCAGTTCTAGTTCAGTTCTAGTTCAGTTCTAGTTCAGTTCTAGTTCAGTTCTAGTTCAGTTCTAGTTCAGTCTAGTTCAGTTCTAGTTTCAGTTCTAGTTCAGTTCTAGTTCAGTTCTAGTTTCAGTTCTAGTTCAGTTCTAGTTTCAGTTCTAGTTCAGTTCTAGTTCAGTTCTAGTTCAGTTCTAGTTCAGTTCTAGTTCAGTTCTAGTTCAGTTCTAGTTCAGTTCTAGTTCAGTTCTAGTTCAGTTCTAGTTCAGTTCTAGTTCAGTTCTAGTTCAGTTCTAGTTCAGTTCTAGTTCAGTCTAGTCAGTTCTAGTTCAGTTCTAGTTCAGTTCTAGTTCAGTTCTAGTTCAGTTCTAGTTCAGTTCTAGTCAGTCTAGTTCAGTTCTAGTTCAGTTCTAGTTCAGTTCTAGTTCAGTTCTAGTTCAGTTCTAGTTCAGTTCTAGTTCAGTCTAGTTCAGTCAGTTCATAGTTCAGTTCTAGTTCAGTTTAGTTCAAGTTCAGTTCTAGGTTCAGTTCTAGTTCAGTTCTAGTTCAGTTTCTAAGTTCAGTTCTAGTTCAGTTCTAGTTCAGTTCTAGTTCAGTTTAGTTCAGTTCTAGTTCAGTTCTGTCAGTTCTAGTTTCAGTTAGTTCAGTTCTAGTTCAGTTCTAGTTCAGTTCTAGTTCTTAGTTCAGTTCTAGGTTCAGTTCTTAGTTCAGTTCTAGTTCAGTTCTAGTTCAGTTCCTAGTTCAGTTCTAGTTCAGTTCTAGCTCAGGTTCTAGTTCAGTTCTAGTTCAGTTCTAGTTCAGTTCTCTAGTCAGTTCTAGTTCAGTTCTAGTTCAGTCTAGTTCATTTATTTCAGTTCTAGTTCAGTTCTAGTTCAGTTCTAGTTTCAGTTCTAGTTGCAGTTCTAGTTCAGTTCTAAGTTCAGTTCTAGTTCAGTTCTAGTTCAGTTCTAGTTCAGTTCTAGTTTCCGTTCTAGTTCAGTTCTTAGTTTCAGTTCTAGTTCAGTTCTAGTTCTACAGTTCTAGTTCAGTTCTAGTTCAGTTCTCAGTTCAGTTCTAGTTCAGTTCTAGTTCATTGTTCTAGTTCAGTTCTAGTTCAGTTCTAGTTCAGTTCTAGTTCTAGTTCAGTTTCTAGTTCAGTTCTAGTTCAGTTCTAGTTCAGTTCTAGTTCAGTTCTAGTTCAGTTCTAGTTCAGTGCTAGGCAGTTCTAGTTCAGTTCTAGTTCAGTTCTAGTTCAGTTCTAGTTCAGTTCTAGTTCAGTTCTAGTTCAGTTCTAGTTAATTTCTAGTCCAGTTCTAGTTCAGTTCTAGTTCACTTCTAGTTCACTTATAATTCAGTTCTAGTTCAGTTCTACTTCAGTTCTAGTTCAATTCTAGTTCAGTTATAGTTTTGATTTAAAATTTTAAATTGAAGGCAAATGTGGAAATTATTTCAGAATATTTAAATCTTTTATGACTCAATAAAATTGTCATCGAAATAAGTAAAATAACTGCCATCAAAATCTCATTTAAATTATATCTGCAAATCTTTTTTTTTGCACACAAAAACTTTTACAAATACTTGTTATTCATAAATTTTTATCAATAAAATGCAAATTGCAAAATACATAGAACAACAACCTGCAACAACAGCAACAATAAACACAATAATTAAAGTGAAAATAATTTCATATAAATATGCATAGAAATTTAACAATGATTTTACAATTTAAACTAGAAAAATTTGAATTACTACGAAGAGCAGACGACAGCCACAACAACAAAAATGTAACAAAACACTATATCAACGTTGTTTACACGACCATCATCAACAACAACATCATGCCACAAAATAAATATTTATATCAGTGTTTCCAAATGCTTTAATATTCAAAACACTAAAGTGTCACTTAAAGCTATACTGTGTATGTGTATAAATACTTATTGCAACAACAACTGTGAGCGATAATAAAAACAACAATAATATTAAAAATCCACACATACACCATAAAATATTTCCCTTATTCTCTTACAAATACACACAAACACATATATAAATATTTTTTTCTAACTAAAAGCATCAGCAAAAAATTGCAAGAGTGGACTTGATTATTAAAAAAATTGCAAAATTGTGAAAGAAATATGAAAAAGAGGAAGTAAAAAACAACTTTAATGTGAATTAAATTTCTTTTTTTATAACTATTACTTTTATAAAAAAATAAACATATAATAGTATAGACATAATGACTAACATGCAGGACACAGTTAATGCATACACATAGTATTTCAGCACACACTTAAAATTACAGTAGGGAATAAAACTATTATTGCAACAACTTTGCAATATTTAAAGAACTATGTAAATACATAAATATTTTGCAAAAATACAGTAACTCGCTTTTTTGATGTCGAG